TAACTAGTAATATTTACTATAATTTCAGTTTAAATGTATTAATTAAATTCTTACTATTAGTTCACACTCTCCCTATATATATCTTGTTCAAATTTTCAATCGTTAATAAAATACTTTTTATTCATCCACTCAAGGTCAGATACATTTTTTTCGAACTTGTAGTGGGTGACACTTGATGTTAATACAGTTTTTCAAATATTAATTCATTAATTAAATAAAATTAATTAATTTTAGTTTTTTAGATTTAAGTTGTATGTATCTAATAATAGATGGCGCCAGATGTAAGAGAAAAAATTTCACCTTTATTAGTAAAGGAATGCAATATAGTGAAAAAGTAAGAATTGACTTAATTTTTATTACTTGTTTATTGATTACAAAGGCCAATTATGAAGTTATTAGATTTCTTGCTATGAATGTTTCTTAATATTATAAATACAAATCCATTGTGTAATATCGATGTCCTTAATATTCACTTTCACTGATAATTCACAATTATGTAAAGTATAATTGGCTGCATTGTTAGTCCAAACTCCAGAAAACTAGACATTAAAGAAATCATATCCTCACAAAGAACATGACTCCGATGAAAATTCAAATTCATTTTCATTTAATAATATATTCTAAGGTAATATTAAGCATTATAACCTCAGTTTCAGTGAACATATTAAACTTATATTTTCCTAAAATTCGAATTCATTATGTTAAATTTACTTAACTATATATTTTAATAAAATTTTAACTTAATTACATAAGAGCTACAGAAGAAGATATGGATTTTTTCACTTAACTATGGAACATTAAATGCAAATGAACCATTTTAAGTTTATGTCAGATTTCTCTGTTTATTAAAAATATTTTTAAAATTTTAAACTAGTATAATTATTTTAACTTTCCTATTTAAAATATGAGATTAATAATTAATTGCTTTATATTTAAGAATTATTTCACTTAGAAGTTTTTAAATTAGATAATTTAAGTAAGATATTCACATTAGTTAGCATGAATTTTAATGTATACTAAAAACAAAATGAAATATAATGATATGAGATATCAATGAGCTATTGAAAACTTTTAAAAGAAAGGGTTAAAGTTTTAATTTCAATTCTTTTAGTACATCCAAATTAATTTTCCTGTTTTTGTACTGTAAAATGAACAATATTATGTACTGTAAAATGAACAATATTATGTAATAAAATGAACAATATTAAATTGCATAAGTTAATTTATTTCAATAAATATCATAATATATTTAAATTTGCCAAGTTATTTGAGAAATAAATGGCATCTACAAAAGTTTAGAAAGCATCCAAGATAAATTGTTTATTGCATTTTACAGTTTCATAACTTCCAATTTTTCTTTTTTTCTACAAAATCGAGATATTCATACTTATCAACAGTTAATCCAACACCTATTTAGAGTTTTATTACGTACGATTGCCACAATTTATTTATTTTCAAAAATTATTAGTTAACAGAAAAAATATTTTACAATGCACTCCAAAGTATCCATAAAGTTATACTTCATGTATAGTGCAACCGACCATATCAAATAACTGATGAAACAAAATATTTAGGTGTTTTCAAGTTAATTAAAGTGAGAATTACAACATATTAAAGCTAATTTTAAAATGTTTCTAGTTTATATTAGTTAAAACATGAAAAAGAACAAATATTAATAGTTTGTATATGTTCAAGAATTTGGTTAAATATCAGTTAATAATTGAATAAATAAGTAGTAAACTTAACTAAAACTATCAAGTATTTAGGAAAAAAATAGGTGTCCTACGTATAAAACTTATATAATCTCTATTTACACACACGCACACATATTCTAATAATAATCTAGACATTCTAATAAAAAATTTTTAACATTTAATAATTAAATTATTAATTTATTATTAAATTTCTTTTAGTGAAAACTAATATTTATTAAAAAAGAGCATTACTGGTCCAGTTATTAATAAATATTTATTAAATTATATATTAAATAAAATGTTGAATATTATTGATTAAAATCGAATTTAGAAAATAATAACAATAGTTACTAAAAGACACCAGTTTAAATAAATTCTTTAAAATCAAAGTTTTGAATACACACAAAGCTATCTTAAGGTCAATATCTTAAAATAGTGTTTTGGAAGTTATACTAGTATCGAGGTACTACTTAAACTCAACAGAAGTAAGTTTTGTAACATATGTCAGATACACTACATGGCTTGAAATGCCTAAAGAAATTTCATACAGTTTTACATGGATATTTTTCCCAGAAACTTTTGATGGAATAAGTTTAAGATGTAACAATAAACATTCTAGGAAAATATAGTAGGTTGTGCATGGATAAATAATGATTCTGTATATAAGTCTGTTTTATTGCATCTTAAAGATCCAAGGAACTTTGTGAAAGTTTTCCGAAAAATACCCTAAGGACTTACATACTGAACAACAGGTTTGTTTAATATCAAAATACTACCCTGGATGGAGTCACAAATCTAGATATTTTGGGATCTTTCAAAACTCTCAAAATTCTGCTTGAAGTGATAGCACTGATTTTAAATCTTAAACAACAAATATTTTGGATTTTTGTTAAAACTTCAACTTGATAACAGATATAACGATTTAAATTAAATAATAATAATTTAGATTTTATACACAAGTGTTTTGGTTTCATGTAAACTACTGATTAATAAGAAATCGTTTTACTTTGAAAATTGTATATTAGTTGCAACAAACACACACTTCGTAAGAATCAAATAAGGAAACACATTTCATAAGGGAAATCAAATAAGGGAAACATTCAAAGAGTATGTTTTGACTAGTTTGGTTGTATAAATTCAAATTTCTTTGTATTTTCAGTGATTACATTCATTTCAGGTTTTCTCATAAATGATGAAATGTTTTTAATTTCAAATGCATGCCTAAAATGTAATTCGACACATTCAAAGTAATTTAATAAAAAAAAAAAAAAATTGCAATTACAATTTCTATGAAATAACAGATGATAGTTTATTAATTTAAAAATGACTTAAACATCAATTGTTCTATTTATATAAACCTTTTTTAGCGAAAAATTATGACCTTTGTAACTAATTTGGAAATATTCATAACATTTTAAAAGAGGAAATTAAAAATTAAAAACAGCATAAAAGTATATTTATTCTATAAATTCACATTATTATTATTATTATTATTACTATTTATTGTACAAATTGTAAAATAAAAATTATTCTTGAGGTAAAATAGGATTTTATTTTAAATATTATACCTTATTAACTTTCAGTGATGTTCATTAACATATACGAAATATACTCTGCCAATTTGTTTCTAAAACATACAAAATATATGAAATGATATATGCTAAAAATTTGTATGTAATATTCTTTATTCTTTAATTATTGAATCATATCTCCATTCTTTATTTTGCAGAGGAAAAATGGAAATGGTATTCTCAAATCAAAATCGATTTCTTTCCCAATATAAAATTTAAAAATTATTTCCTATATTAAAGCAATCCTTAAATATTTCATAATAGGGCTAAATTCACCAATTAAAATAATTATCTCAGATCCATACATAAAAGAAAATAAATCAAATGATATAAGTTATCAATTGATATATTATGAAATAAGTATAAGTATGATGATTTAATTACATTAACCTTATTATCATATATAAGTATGATGATAACTTATATATGATATAAGTTATTCATATGCCAACGGCCATACCATGCTGAATAAACCGGTTCTCGTTAGTTCAGAGCATCATTGGGCACGGTCAGTACTTGGATGAGTGACCACCTGGGAACACCGAGTGTCGTTGGCATTCACAAATTTGGGACCTGAATGGCGCACTGGCTAGCGCACTGGCGCTCGGTGCCACAGGTTTCGTGTTCGAATCCCGGCGGTGCCATGGATGTTTGTAGTGATTCGGAATCCACTTAAGCCGTAGGTCCCGGTCTCCTTATGACTGTAAGAGCGTCACGGAGCCAAAGTCGGACTTCTACCTACGGGTGCTCCATCACAACAGAAGCTGCTTCCTTCCCCTTCAATCATGAGTGCGTATGGGCTCGTGGGCTTGGCCAGCCAAGTGGGATAAGAAACAACAACAACATAAGTTATTCATTAGAAATTGTTATGAAATATTCTTAAATATTTAATTATTGAATCATATTTCCATTCTTAATTGTTCTTTTGAATGTTAGATGTACGAAAACAAATTGGAAAGTGGATGAAACATTGTCTTTTAATGACAGATATTTTATTATTGAGACTTACGAATTGTAGCAGTCATAAGATTAATTTAAAATTTTATCTTAATTTTGATATCTCATATGAATGATATTCTATTCATTGTACATAGGTAATGATTTGTAAGCATATTTAAAAGGAATTTGGAATACTAACAAGATTATATATAAACGTTAAATGTAAATTTAAAGTCATGAATTTATATCCGCATCACATATTTTAAGATTTCTTTATATATATTTCACATATCATTAATGCAAATTATTTCACAAACAACAAAATATTCAACAAATCCGACTAAATTCTTATTTTCTAAAACTACCAGTGAATAATAATTTGTGCATAGTGTATATGTTAAATTTAAAAATATAAGAAAAGCAACTGCATTAATAAAAATGCTAAGTGCTTATAAAAGAGAATAAATACATATTAATTATAAAAAATATTTATTCATTTGCAAAAAGGACATATAAATTTTAAGTTTTTGTCTTTTATACTAGATTACACATTCCTTAAACTGAAAAATTCTGACTGCATTTCTAGAAATGACTCAAGAACACTTTTTCGGTTTCTAATGAAAATTCCAACCTAATTGAATTGAAAGTTCGAATTCAATTTAAGAGACGCTCGTGAAACAAGAAAATACTCAGGCAATGTTTTCTTTAAAATGTCATTTGAATTCTTTAAAGCCAGCCCCGAAAACATTAATTTGATACCCCGGAACATCACGGTAACTAATATATAATTTGCAAAACTGAATTCCCCGTGGTCCTTCATGTCAACGCATTCTCAACAACTAATGAGCTGAAACCTTCTTGTGCAAACAAGTAAACATTGAAGTAACCCAACGGTAATATTATCATAAGATTTAATTTCGAATTGTTTCCACATGTTGATGAGGCCATCAGAGTTCTCGTCGTTGAATTGATTCGCCCGAAAAATGGGTTTCATGATATAGTGATGCGTTAATAATAGAGAGAAGATACCAGGCAGTATTAGGAGAGGAGTCCAGGGAATTTGAAGAGTGCTCTATTCCCGAATTATACACATTCTTTCATCAAAATAACGACTTCCTCCCTAAAGGAATGGAATGTGATGTATATTGTATTTAATTTTCATTACATGAATTCATGTTTCTATTTTGGCAGAACTTGGAAAAGTAAAGTCTATATTGGAAATTTTAACTATTTGTCTTGTTACTAAAATAAATAATGTTGAAAGTTTTTTGAGCAATTAAATTATTCAAATTTTTTTAATTAAACTTTATTATTAAAGGAATGGAATGTGATGTACATTGGATTTAATTTTCATTACATGAATTCATGTTTCTATTCAGGCAGAACTTGGGAAAAGTAAAGTTTATATTGGAAATTTTAATTATTTTAAAATAAACAATGTAGAAATTTTTTTAAATAATTAAATTATTCAATTTTTTTAATTAAACTAGTTTTATATTTAATAAACAATTTGGTTAATTTGTTTTGAAGAAACAAAATAAATTTTTGCAAAATAGATTTTTTTTTTTTTGAAGAAATAAAATAGATTTTTCAAAATGAAATCAATATATAATTTTTATTTTATTGAGTATTTTGTACACACAAATAATTACGGTTTATATAATTATATACACGAATAATTTTTTTATCTTTATTAATTAAATTTTAAAGTACCAATACCAAAAGAAAGGAGATACCAAGCAGTATTAGGAAAAGAGTCCAGGAATTTGAAGAGTGCTGTATTCTCGAATTATACACATTTTTTTATCAAAATTACGACTTCCCTAAAGGATTAGAATGTGATGTATATTGAATTTAATTTTCATTACATGAATTTATGTTTCTATCCAGGCAGTGTTAGGAAAAGTAAAGTCTATACTGGAAATTTTAACTATTTGTCTTGTTTATAAAATAAATAGAATTATTTATATTCAATTTTTATTAAAGGCATGGAATGTGATATATATTGGATTTAAATTTCATTACATGAATTCATGTTTCTATTTAGGCAGAACTTGGAAAAGTAAAGTCTATATTCGAAATTTTAACTATTTGTCTTGTTTTTAAAATAAATACTGTTAAAGATTTTTTGAGTAATTAAATTATTCAGATTTTTTTAATTAAACTAATTTTATGCTTAATAAGCAATTTGGTTAATTAGTTTTGAAGAAATAAAATAGATTTTTACAAAATAGATTTTTTTGAAGAAATAAAATAGATTTTTCAAAATAAAATCAATTTGAAGAAATATATTTTATTGAGTATTTTATACACACAAATAATTAAGGTTAATATAATTATAGACACGAATAATTTTATTTATCTTTTTTAATTAAATTTTAATGTACCAATACCAAACGAAAGAAAATACCAGGGAGTATTAGGAGAGGAGTCCAGTGAATTGAAGAGTGCCCTATTCTCGAATTATACACATTCTTTTATCAAAATAACGACGTCCTCGTTAAAGGAATGGAATGTGATGTATATTGGATTTAATTTTTATTACATGAATTCATGTTTCTATTCAGGCAGAACTTGGGAAAGTAAAGTCTATATTGTAAATTTTAACTATTTTAAAATAAACAATGTTGACATTTTTTTTTAAATAATTAAATTATTCAATTTTTTTTTTTAATTAAACTGGTTTTATATTTAATAAGCAATTTGGTTAATTAGTTTTGAAGAAATAAAATGGATTTTTGCATAATAGATTGTAAATTTTTTTTTTTTTGAAGAAATAAAATAGTTTATAATAGATTTTTTTTGAAGAAATTTTTACAAAATAGATTTTATTTTTGAAGAAATAAAATTATTTTTCAAAATAAAATCAATATATAACTTTTATTTCATTGAGTATTTTATACACACAAATAATTAAGGTTAATATAATTATAGACGCGAATAATTTTATTTATCTTTATTAATTAAATTTTAATGTACCAATACCAAAAGAAAGAAAATACCAGACAGTATTAGGAGAGGAATCCAGTGAATTGAAGAGTGCCCTATTCTCGAATTATACACATTCTTTTATCAAAATAACGACGTCCTCGTTAAAGGAATGGAATGTGATGTATATTGGATTTAATTTTCATTACATGAATTTATGTTTCTATTCAGGCAGAACTTGGGAAAGTAAAGTCTATATTGGAAATTTCAACTATTTGTCTTGTTTCTAAAATAAATTGAATTAGTTATATTCAATTTTTATTAACGGCATGGAATGTGATATATATTGGATTTAATTTTCATTCCATGAATTCATGTTTCTATTTAGGCAAAACTTGGAAAAGTAAAGTCTATATTGGAAATTTTAACTATTTGTCTTGTTTCTGAAATAAATAATGTTGAAAATTTTTTGAGTTATTAAATTATTCAAATTTTTTAAATTAAACTGGTTTTATGTTTAATAAACAATTAGGTTAATTTAGTTTTGGAGAAATAAAATAGACTTTTACAAAGAATACGTGTTTTCTCAATTTTTTTTATCAAAATAAAATTAATATATAATTTTTATTTTGTTGAGTATTTTATACGCACAAATAATTAAAGTAAATATAATTAGAGACACGAATAATTTTATTTATCTTTATTAATTAAATTTTAAAGTGTCAATTATAATAATCGAATAATTAATTAAGATTCGCATATCTTTTATGTCTGTATAAATAAGATTCAATGGTCTTATGTGTACCCGTACATACTGAAAAGTTATTCGATCCATAGACAGATTTCGTTGTAAATTTCATAGTTTGCTCTTATTAATGTCAAGAATGTTTAGAGAATGGTTCAAATAAATTTAAAATAAGCATAAAAAAAGCTTTTTGTCTCGAGGCATATACAAAAAGTTAATAAACGAAATACTACAAATTCGGATTTTCATGTGCAACCCTATGATTTAACAAGCTATATGTATAATAAGGGGAAAAAAGTTTCAGAAACAAAATAGCAATGAAAGAGAAAAAAAATGAATTATCATACACTATTCAATTCATATAATTTTAATTGAATAAATAAATTGATATAGACCTTCAATTGTACTCATTTAATTTATAAATATATTAAAGATTTTGCAATAGCGACATTTTTATATTAAAGAAATTATTATGTTTTCATTACATGTCTGATGATCATATTCACATAAATAATTTTTTGATTAAAATTATTGTTTATAATATGTTAGGATTTGAATAAATGAGTTACATTATCTCATGAAATAAAGAAAAATCGATTATACGTTCATTAGAATTATTATGTATTTATAATAGTGACGATTATTATTAGTATTTTGCTGAATTTAATGTTGTTAAGGAATACATTTTTACTCATGTACAGAAGCAATAAGAAAAACCTTAAGATTTCCTTACAAATTACAGTAAGATAGAGAAAGTTATTACAATAAGATAGATGCACAAATTACAATAAGTTAGAATTCAGGTTTAAATTTCTTTATCCAAAATACTTTTTTATATTTATGCACTGGAATGTTTTAGATATTTAAGACATAATTTGGACGTTTTTCATGTTACAGTAATTGTCTATGTATCTTGGGTTATTTGGCCAAAAAGTCAAATT